TTTTCCACTGGTGAAACTGATTCAAATTACCACACAATACAGTAATACTAAATCACAAAAACTGTTTGACCACGCATAACAAAATTAAACAAAATTAGAAAATTTGGATGCACTCATCAGATCAGACAATCCTTGGCATGAGGCACTTTGACACAGTCAGCACAAAGGATTACAATGTACTCCTAGAATTGGGGCAGTAAATGAGCAGCATTGTTTTAGTAATAGAAGGGTGAACTCCTGGTCCAGTTAATTAAGAGAAAAGTTTGGTTGGGTAATGGGAGTAGAGCAGTTGCGTCCATTATGTAGAGTGAGGAGTTTAACCAATTATAAATAGCAATTCATTTTGCCAATAAAATGAAGGCAAGCACTGGGTCAGCAATGAGGTGTGAGGGGAGTTGGCTCCATAAATAAGAGAGTTTTTGAATTCATTATAAAGTTTAATTCAGGCTATTCTTTATGCAGAAGATGTTCCATCCTACCATCTGTTCTAAGAAGACAATTACTCGTCACACTGCTTTTTGAAGGTCTAATACTGTTGTAAAATAACAAAATTTTATCTACATAACCTATACCACAGTCTGGAAGGTATGATTAGTATCCACAACACTAACACATCACTTGGCCAATGCCACATGGAGTGAAATTAGAAGGAGTTCTCATACTGAAATCATGCTCATATTTGCTGACATCAATTAAGTAATGTTAACCAGTGCTTTTTGCTCCCTTGAAAATTTTATAATATTCCATGATTCTGAAACTTATTGATTATCTGGTAACACTTTACAATAAGGGTACAACAATTAACATTAGTTAATGCAGTAATAAGCATTTCCTAACAGCTAATTAACATTTAACTAATGCATCTGGTAATCATTTACAAATGATGTTCTCAACTTATTAATTTATACTTTATGGTTTAACAGTTTGAAGTGCTTCATCAGGGATACTTAATTATGTTTTCAACTTCACAATAAGGGAAACACAGAAAATTAATAAATGATCGATTATGGTTATATAATGCTTATTCAGCTATCTAATGCATTAGTTACCTGCTAATTAACTGATAATTCATGAACTAACATTAATAAATGTTAATTGTTGTACCCTTATTGTAAAGTGTTACCAATTATCTCTCTGACTGTGCTCAGTGGTACAGCTGTTTGTGCTTAGCCTATATCCTTCACCTGATTTGAGTTTGTCAATAATTATTTGCTTGTTTTCAGGTGAAAGCTCTTTGAATTGATATGAGTGATAACGGGATTAAATAAGGTTCATGTTTATAAGATGCAATTTTATCATATACTTCCTTATAAATATGGGGAATCTGCCCATGTGATACGAGCATGAGGCACAAGGCTGTATCATCCCGCCAGGCAAAAATCCTGTATCACCTGTATCTGCCCGCCAGGCAAAATCCTGTATCAGTGGCAGCAACCATTGCCATAGCAACATTCACGAGCATCGTTGGCAACGCATCGCTTCAGACGCTGATTAGATGCTGTCATGGCGGAGAGACTCAAGAATTCCTCAGCGGCTGAAATTTCTGAACTGGACTATGTTATAGAAAAGGAACTTGATACAGTATTATTTGTAAACAGCATGCGTAATGCCGCGTCTTGCAGCAATATTCATGCGAAAAGCTGTATTAAAACGTTTCATGCGTAAGCTATCGTAGAAATGCAAATTTATTACCTTAATGGAGAAAATTGTGTTTACATGCTAGCTAACTAATTAGCCATTTCATTGACTTGAAAACACTGCTGACTAAAAGCAAAGATAGATAGATATTCTTTATTATAGTGACATGTGTGTATGCAGCACAAGACATCCGTTATAAAAAAAAAAATAAATGCTTCCCAAAAAGCACGGAGTGCCAGTCACACCCAGCCTACTTGGGCTTACAAGTCACTTTAAACAAACAGTCGAATCAAAGCCAGTAACATGTAATAAGAAGGAATCTTTAGTGAAGGAGCCTAATTATATAACATTTGCCTTCTCTTCATAAATGCCTTTTGAATAAATTGAGCAGTACTTTTAACTATATCCTTGTCCATTAAGCTACCCATTTTGTCAAATTCAGAAAGACTATGGAAGCAAATACAAGCGCTACTGGCCTGTAATGATGACAATAATAGCCTGAAATAAATGCTTTGGATAAAATGCATCATTAATTATGGTCAAAATCAGTATATGATAAATAGAACATCATATGCGCATTTTCATATCACACCGTGTATCAACCCTCGACCAGTATCAGCCCTCAAGCTAAAGCTCTTGGGCGATACTGGAGTCTCAGGTTGATACAGCGTGATATGAAAATGCCCATATGATATTCTCTATTTATCTTGGGCTCCTTTTCTTTAGGGTGCCAATAATTTTGATTGGAATATTTTTTAAGAAAAAATATTTTTACTTAACCCTTTGCTGCATAGTGGTTACTAAAGTAACCAAACCCACCCATAACCTTTATTAGGCACAGAGGGGTGTGCAAAAAAGGGTTAAAATGTACCCAAAAAAAAGTTTTTGTAAGTTTAATTGTGCAAATGCCAGTAATTTTGCATAAAGGTCAGGTTAATAATTTTCACCATTATGTTTACTATTTATTTTTTACCTTCATTTTTGTTTGTTTTCACTTTTTTTTTTAATAAATCTTGGTTTGACTGTAGTTATTTTTGGTTAAAGAAAACTGAATTGGCTGCATTTACCTGGATTGAGATGAGTGACCTACCTGCTGAGTTTGCGGCTCCGAAATGTTTGTTTCAGATCATGTCACATTCCAGTGTGATCATGACAGCAGTTTAGGAAAATATGTTTGAACTTTGCACTACAACTCCACCCAAAACTAACTACCTCCAGCTGGGACAGAGCTGAGACTATCAGCCAGCTGTCCATGTGATGGAGAACAGGAATCTAAATTGATAGTTGATGCAAATAGAATCATGAAGCGGCAATGTTAATCCCAAAGAGCCATGAAGGGTGGAAAGTCTCATCTATTTTGGGTCAATATTTATCAAACTGGTCACACCACTGCTGCCTTTACTCCAGGGAGACACCTTGGCTATCTGGCCTGCTTCAGATAACAGCTTCAAATCACATTCTCTAAACATGTGTTAAGGTCTGATTCATATTCATCTCAGAGGGGCTGTTTGAGGGACCTCAACCTTCCAGTTGGTGTCATAAATATTGGTGCTCTGTGGGTGGAAAATTCTTGTCCTGGAGAACCAGTCTACATGTTGATTATTGTTCCAAATAATACGATTTGCAGTTAGTTTCTCATAGGCCACATAAACTGAGCTGGGTGACTCCTTCTTGAGCATGGTAAAATACTTCTGGATACACTTACGCATGTGCCTATAGCTTGTGCTTAAACATCTAGGTATCTATCCATCCATTATTTATACCGCTTCTTCCTCACCAGAGTCACAGGGGAGCTGGAGTTTATCCCAGTGGTAAGTGCTGAATGGCATTGGCTGAAATGACGAGCAAATCTGTTGCAGATATGACACCGAGATATGATTGGGCTAATTAAATAAAGAGTAGTGGGCAGTGAAATTGGCCTTTGCTGTATAACCCTGCATAATTATTGCATGCCAAGGTTCATACACGTGTTGGTTAATCAATACAGGTATAAGAGAAACAGGAACTTCATTAAACATCCTGCAATAAATGGCAATGATTTTCAAACAGATCCCTAATATTGTCGTAAACTTAAATGGAATTTGATGTATATAAGCTAATCCTTTAGTCATGGTGTTCATTAATCTTGTTCTAAAGAACAGCTGACTCAGCTGTTCCAACAAAGCATTATTATAAGATAAATTCACTAAGCATTTGGGTGGCAGTACTTAACAACCTGAACAATTACATTAGATGCATTGCTCTGGTAAATACAGAGCTCCACAGAGTAATTTTCTTAAAAAAGAATGTAAACTGCATCAAAAACTCCAAGGAACAACATCAGCAAAATCCCTAATACATACTACTGTATGTGTAATGTAAAATAGTCTTACTGTATTTGTATGGTTTGTTGCATATTTCTGAGTTGCCACTGAGTATCTTGTACCTGGCGAATTTGGCTCTGTTGCCATGCTTTGAAGACATCATGCAGGTCTGAAGCATGTGTGCTGTAAAGAGGAATATCCTTTACACTGAATAGTCTATCCCTTTCTCCTTCTCAGCAAAATACATCAGTGGTTAGAAATTAAATTTTCCAAACTCCTCATGAGGCAGGACAGGGCATTCCCATTTCCTGCAGTGTAAGTGTAAAGCTACCTTGTTTTCAGTAAATACTTTTTTCCTGCACTCGAAGAAATAGCAATTTTCAGGCAAACAGCAAACTCACCCAGCTCAGTTACATTTATTTCATCTGATAATTTACATGGAGGTAACACAGGTCTGTGTATGGTGAGCTCAGCTGTAGGGAAGCCATAATTAACCCCATAAGACCTCTGGACCCAGATATGGGTCTGCCAAATTCAGCTGCTGTATTCAAACCTGTGGAACTTCAGTCCTATTTTTAATTCTAGTGGAGATCCCAAGGTATCCCAGGATCCCAAATATGTCCTATTGAATTTGCTACAACCCCAGCTTTCTTCCTGTGTCATCTCTATGTGTTTTTGCATTAGGTACCTGTTGGGGTGGAGCTTGGGAAATTGAACAAAAATTCGGTACACCTGTGTTTGGCGGTTCCAGGGGTTAAATGACCGATCAGCCCATGGCAACGTATGATGTTTCATCGTTCCCCCACACACCTTCTTTTTTTTGTGGTTTCGTTATGTTTGTTCTTTGCAACCAACACACACCACACCATACTTTCCTCTCATTCAATCTGACACTACTGGCAACGCTGACTTTTACATCTCACTGGTCGCCCATCTTTTCTTCTTGTTAAGTTTATTTTTTTGGGTAAATAAAACATTGCTGTCACTTTGGCCAAACCTATTTGGTGTTTCCGTTTTGCTATGACCAACTGAGCAGCAGTCGTAACAATTACAGGGGGTGGCATGGTGGTGCAGTGGGTAGCAGTGCCGCCTCACAACAAGGTCGTGGGTTCGAATCCAGCCTGGTGCCTTTCTGTGTGGAGTTTGCATGTTCTCCCAGTGTTTGCGTGGGTTTCCTCCAGGTGCTCCGATTTCCTCCCACAGTCCAAAGACATGCACATCAGGCTGATTGGACACACCAAACTGCCCATAGTATGAGTGTGTGAGTGAGTGGTGAGTGTGCCCTAAGATGGAGTGGTGAACCGTGGAGGGTGGGTCGCTGCTTTTTGCCCATAGTCAGCTGGGATGGGCTCCAGCTCCCCACCACGACCCTAATCAAGTAAGAAAGCAGGTATAGAGAATGATGCATAAAATCATGCACAAGATCCAGTAATTTCCATTTGATGTGATGCTGTGGCCATAAAACATGGCATCCTGGGTTTGAATATTTCTCGCAATATACAGTAATTAAGATGTTGCTTCAGTGACGCGCAACAATGAGCAGATACAGAATATGTATATGAGATTGTCTTGCAATGTAAAAAAAAAAAAAATTTTTTTTTTTTTTTTTTTAAATGTTTAATCCATGTAGGGAAAAATGTAACTGAAAAAGTCAGAGCGTCAGGGTTAATATGAATTCAACTGTGGCTCTGGCACAGACAAAGCAAGTACTCCCCATGTTTTATTTTGTCAAATTCAGGAAAGAAGGGAGCTCAAGGTAGACAATTACACAAAACACAGTTGGTTTAAAAGATTCCTGCCACAGTTAGTTGCCATTAGTAGACATTAAATACATTTTACATTTAAAATATAACGCTTTAATACTCTTTCCTTAATGTTAAAGGTTAATGAGTAAGTACTCCTCAACCATGAGGCAGATTCTTTGAAAAATATTTAATTATTGAAGGCAAAACTAATGTTAATACTCTGGTACTCATGGTTGTATAAGCCCTTTTATTATATGATGTGAGGATTTGCTCTCTCCTGATTGGTTGAGGCAAGCTCCGTGGGTCACTGTAAACAGTGCGAAAGTGCGTGAGAGGTGAATATAACAAACTGACGACCTCAAGCTAAAAATATTAAGGCTTCCCCACAGGAACTCCTGACAGTGTCAGTATTTCGTGTTGCTTCGTCCCTGTGAGGAGCTTTACATTTGAGTTGTTCCCCAAATAACTTTTGTGGGGCCTTTAACTGATGACTCATTCAGTGAATACCATGCTCACTTATCAATCATCATATATATCAGTAGAAAAAGGTGATTCAGGCAGAATTGGGTCAGTTGCTGGACATGGGAATGATTCGGTCAGTGTCCCCAGGTTTTTCTAACTCACAAGTATAGGGTCATGAAGGGCTACTAAGTCGTAATTGTGGGGGCAGAAACCATCCCCTTAAACTGAATACTAGTTTTGATAGTTGTCCATAATTTTCCATGATTAATATACATTTGTCTAAGTTAGAAAATACTCAATACATCCAGGTATCAGGTAGCTGGTTATCTACAGTTAAAGTGAAACTTTTTCTGCTTTGTAATTACCCAAATTTCAGTTGATGATTTGCAAAATTTTGGATACTTGTAGGCACTCTTTTTTTATTTGATTTAGTTCAAACACAGTCAAGAAGGAGGTTAATTAACCAGCATTTTAGGATGTGTCAACAACTAACACAAATGTTAATAGAGCTTATCATTTTTTGATAAGCATACTTTGAGAAAACAACATTTTTCAAAATCAGATGTATTGTTAAATCTCCCTAATATTGCATGAAGAGGGAAGCTGTGTTTGCCTGCCAATGGGTGATTAACATCATTGAAAAACGTTTTATGTGAGGAAAATTATACTGATGAAAGGGTGTATTTATTCCTCTCTTTTTAGCACAGAGGCCATCGCTGCTTAAAAATATAGCTAATATATACAACCTACTTATATATATATATATATAAATAATTTACATCTTAAGGTAATCAACAGAGGGGAACCCTCAGGGCCTTCTACACCTTCATAGAAAGCCTAAAAAAAATCTGAACCATAAAATAGGAGTATTAAATAAAAATAATTATTGTTTTTAAAATTTCTATCTCATTTAATTTAATACAATACATTTAATACATTTTCTTTCATCTACGTTTTAAGTTAAGCTTACTTTCAAGTTCACATCTGCAATGAAAGGGTTACTGTCCTGAAAACTTGTTATCCAATCAGAATCGCCCATCTCTATCAAGACCCGGTCGGCTGGCTCATTAATTTGTTAGGACTTCATGAATCCAGGGGAAGGTCAAGCTACGCATAAAGCTATGTGTCTTGGTTTGGAGACTGAGGGGCAAATTGACCAGTCACGGTTTGATTTTAAGTGGGCGGGACAAAAACAAAAGGTCTTAGGCCTTCGTGAAGTCCAAACATCGTAATCTCGGCAGAGTGGTGAGGGCGGGTGAGAAACAGAGTGAAATGGCGGAAGATGACAGCGACGTTGTGGCTAGCTTGATACCATCGCCTTTTTCAAGGTGGGCTTTCACAGAAAAACTTCAAATAATAAAAAAACCGAAGACCAACTCCAGAACTGGAATTAAAAGAAAAGGTTGAGAAAGTGGAAAGGCATTTCAAGACAGAATTTATCAGCGCTATCCGTGGACAACGGGCTGTAAGAAAACACCAGAGGTGTATAAAGTACTCAAAAAAAAAAAACTAAGTAAAAGTAGAAGTACCATAACTGAAAGTTATTTTGGTAAAAGTTGAAGTCACCCATAAGAAAATTACTTGAGTAAAAGTCTTGAAGTAGCTCACATTAAATGTATCTTGTGAAAAAATATACTTAAGTATCAAAAGTGCAAGTACAAGTACAAAGTATTTTTCATAGTACGCATAGAAAGAAGCAAAACAACCACACATTGTCCTCTCCTTGTTCTCTTTAATCAACTTTCAGGTGAATGAAAGTATTCAAAAAACAGGCAATGTCTGCATTATATACTTCTTCCTCTTCTTCTTCTTCGAGTTTACTGGCGGTTTAAAAAACCACAATAATTTACTATAATTAATAGTAGAATGACATAGGATCAATACCATGTAGAATTTTTGCTTCAGAAAACTGATTTTTCTTTACTACTAATTCGGATATCATGGACTCACTGTAGCTGAAGTGGTTGCTACAGAGGACAACGATTGTTTCTCTAGCAAGAGATAATTTTTTTTAAACTGCTAGATAGATAATATGGGCAAGTATATTGAGCAGTTTGCACATCAGGCATAGCTGAAGAGTTAAATTCAGGCAATTCCTGAAATACAGGGATTGGAGTGAACTCGTCCATATTCTAAATCGTGTTCCAGCTCGGGCTTGCTTGTGAATATTCACTAAAGCTGGTTGCACACTACGGGAAATTCGGGTCAGATTTTGCCCCGAACTGGCCTTCCCGAGAATCGGGGAACAATCCGAATTCGGCCGTGATATTTGGCCCAGTTATCTGTTAGTGTGTGGAGGTTACAGATCCGAATTCGGCACCTCGCGAACTGATCGGGACCTCCCCGATAATATCCATATTATTGGGTGTTTGGGGATGATCCTACAGGGTGTTACGTCATCGAGCGGAAACCAGAAGTAACAAAGATGGTACGTTGGACAGGAGAGATGGAGGAGCGCCTGGTGGCGATGTGGGAGGAAAAAAAGTGCCTATACAATATTTCCTCGCAAGACTACACAAACCTTGTCATGAAAGAGAGCGCTCTGGGCGAGATGGCCAGAGCTGTCGGTGTAGTAGGTCGTTAACACTTAAATGAGAGCAGGCGAGCAACCGTTAACGGTTACACTGTTATGTTTGCTAATTGTTGCTAGCTACCTACCTACACACACTCGTCACTTTTAAGCTACAGTCACATTTTTATGTCAACCAGGATAGTTTCAATGAATCTTTCAGGGTTCTTCTCCTCTCAACAGTCAAATCTCGTGCCCAGGAAAGGGGAAATTACGTCAAAGTCACATTTGATCATGCAGGTTTTTGTGAAATCTTGGAAGATAAGGGTATCGAGAGCTGTAGTGTGCAGAGTCCCTCTTCTTGACTGAATTCGTATACAGCTCGTTGATTAAAATCGGCAAGGATTATCGGTATGTGTGCAACCCCCCGCGATTTTAAGATCTTAAAAGATTTGGAAACTCCTGTAGTGTGCACCCAACATAACTGGTCCGGGTGTGCCATCTAGTGATAGAATATTGTAACTGCGTGCATAAATTTGCAGCTCCATGTCCGCTGGCGGACACATCTGCACAAAGATACCCTGCCGAGCACCGTTGTTCTTCTTGAACACGCCAAATCGAGATAATCCTAAAATGATGAATTACATTCATATTTTAATTTGTGAAGAAGTGGCCAGTGTCAAAGTAACGAAGTATACCTTTATGTTTTAAATGTAGTGGAGTAAAAGTCTAGGTAAAAAAAAAAAAAAAAGTAAAGTACAAATTCTCAAAATAACGAAACCCTTTTCATTCATCATAATGTTGCTTGTTTTCCGTGATGACGTCTTTTCTCGGCGGTGATGACTGAGGTGAAGGCCCAGCTGTAGGGCTCACGGTTCGCCACTGGTAATCAATATATTATTTTTCAATGCTTAAACAAACTGAAAACCAGCCTGACATGCCACTGAAGATGCTAGTGCTACAGATGACTAAAAATTCTCAATGACCTGTCAGAGAAAGATTCTGTGAATTATTATGTGAGCTGCTGCATGCCTCTGACGAGGAGGAATGAATTAAGCGCAATAGAGAGTGCTTCTATCTTGTTTCACATGTAGAAAGCCATGCATTAATGGAATTTTTCTGGCAAAATATGGCAAAAAGACATCGTCAATTTCTATTTTTGACCTTGTATTACAGAACCTTGTTTGATTTATGATCCACAAAAAATGCAACTTCGAGAAATGCGACTCCTATCACTTGAACTTCAAGAGTAATACAAACCTGTCATGGTTTTGGTGGTTTGCATTTGTTTGGTAGCTTTCTTTGTTACTCTTGTCCGGGACGATATCATTTTGCCCACATCGGATTCTTTGGCCAGCTGGCATTAATTGTGGGCGGCGCCCGGACTCTACTTAAGCCCAAGTTCCGCCTCGCC